ACCTGGGTCGGAGGTCATCCATTTCCTTTTTTCAATTACTACGACTCGGCATTTCCGTGTGTAAATAAACTCGCTTATTCGGGGGGTGAAAAGAGCCACAGAGGTGGGGTCATCTAAACAGAAACCGCAAAGGAGAAAATGAAATAGGCAGGCGTCGAAGTGTCAACGCAGGGAGGGCGTGGAGGGGGTTGGGAGAGCTCGTGGCAACCGCAGAAGACACAGAAGGTGGACTTGAGCTGGAGGACGAGTGTCTGCAGGGCCCAGAAATAGCCATGGACGAGCAGAGACTTCCTCCCCGGCCACCGAGAGGCTTGGGAGCCCATGAAGGGTGCAGCAGGGGCCGCCTCCACCCCCACGGCCCCCCACGGCCGGGGGCAGGCTGTCTGCACTACCCAGGTCTGTCCCGGCTCCTGCGTTCACCAGGCATTGGATCCAGGTTTGGAGGCGCTGTCAGGGGGCCCCCGAACCACCCCCACCTGTGAGGGACTCAGCGTAGAGCTGCCATTACGGCTGTGACTTATTACAGGGAACGGGTGCAGAGCGAAACCAGCAAAGGGAGAAGGCCCGTGGGGTGACACCTGGCGGAGGCCAGTCACAGGCTTCCAGGGTTCTCCCAGGGGTGTCACGTGGAGGGGCATAATTCCTCCCGCAAGGCCTGGTGACACGTGCAAAATGTTGTCACCAGGGAAGCGCCTTAGAGACCCAGACACAAATGTCTGCAGTGCTCAGGTTGACGGACTCTGTCTCATCTATCATCTATCTATGTGTCTATATCTGTCTATCATCTACGTGTGTGTATCTATCTATCATCTGTCTATCATTTATCTATCTATTATCTACCATCTATCACTTATTATCTATCATCTATCATTTATCATCTATCATCTATCTCTCTATCCATCTACCATATGTCTATCTATCATCTATTTATCTATTTATCCTTCATCCATCCATCCGTCTCTAAATCTATGTATCTATCGACCTAGCATCTATGTATCTATCAACGTATCTAGTTTTCTTTCTAGCTACGCGCACAGCATGCCCGCCACAGACTGTCACCCAGCCCCAGACACCCACAGTGGTGAAGACTTCTGCAAAGAAAGCCCACAACCGTGAATCTTGAACACATGCATTTCTCTTTCAGAAATCCCCAGCTTTGGGTCTTTGGCTGCAAGAAATACACCTGGGCCCCTGACAGGCTGCACCTGCCGTCTCAGAAAAAGCCTTTGAACAGGAAACTCCGTAGGGAGGTGCAAACGTGACCTGGGGAGAGGCCGGAGGAGTTGGCGAGGTCGACAGCTCGCCGTGGGGACCTCTGAACACCAGGAGAGTAAGGCGTTCATTTAGTGATTCCAACCACAAGGCAGGGACTTGGCTGGCTACACAGCGAGGCCCCCTCCTGGCCCAGCTGACACCGTAAAACCAGAGGAAACCGGGGCTGACCGGGTCCCGCCTGGCCTGCCAGCCGGCCAGCCGCATGAAAGAGAAGCCAGAGTTAAGGAGAGGGCTGGGGCACAGGCTGCGGCTCCCGTGTAAGCGACCCCCCACAGGGATCAAACTCACCCTCTCTCTTGCAAGCGCTCAATTAGAGCAACACAGCCTTTCTCACGCCTTTTCATCTCTCCCTTTAGTGGTGGGCGGCGGATGTCACGGCCTTGACTTAGAAAAGCTCAGACTCTGCCCTCCCTGGGTACTGTGTGGCCACCCCCCCCCCAAGAAACGGCCAATCAAGATAATACAGGCAAGTGAGCATGGGCCCCCCCCAAAGCATCTTCCTCCTCTTTCCCCGAAGCCGTGTACAACCGCTGATCTGTTTTCTGGCATTGTTTGGACTCTCTAGAACTTTCTACGAATGGGCTTTCTAGAACTTTATATTTTCTGCAAATGGAATCCTTGTTGTTGGATTGTTGTGGTTCCTTTCCATTCGTAGCTTTACTTTGGGATTCACTCCCCTGGTTGTGTTAAGTCCAGACAATTAATAAAGAGGCTGGATGTCAAATTAGGGTTCTGAAGATTTTATTAAGCTGAGCTCAGCGACCGTCTCCCCCGCTAAAAGGAGAACGGTCCCCAGGCTCGGGGGTCTGGCTTTTTATAAGGCAGGGCTATATGCAAAGTAAGTTACAGACGCTAAAAAGAACGTGTAGTTATTCCAGTTAAAACCGCATCCCGCTATCACAACAGTGCTGTTTATGTTCAGATGTCTTAACAGTATATGGTGACTGGGTTGAGCTGACCACACAGCCTGTTCCCTAAACTTGAAAACTTCTTTGAAGTATAAAGATAGAGGCCATGGGAGCCAACTGTCCCTTTGATATGTTAAAATAAAAGCGAGGGGAGCGTTTATTGCTGTGAGGCCTTTTGGTGTATTAAGATAGGAGCAAGGAGCCAGTTTGCTGCTGTGAGGCCTTTTGGTATGTTAAGATAGAAGCAAGGGGAGGAAGGGGGAACTGAGGAATGTCTTTTCTTTAACCTTTTGTTCCCCGGCAGAAGCAAAGCAGGTGCACAGAAGCAAAAAGGAGCTGTTAGTTTTTTAGAGTCTTTGGGAGTAGCTGAAGTATGATTTTTAACGTGAGTCTGTCTGGCCTAGGGTCCGGGCCGAGATCCTTACAGTTGCTTCTTGCATGTACCAACATTTTTGTTTTGGGAGTTTTGTGTTTGTTTTTGTTTTTTTGGCTTCTTCTCTTTTTTGAGCTCCTACGTTCTTCACGGCTGCTGGGTGACAGGCACCTCCAAGGTCTGTGGCTTTTCCATTGGACCCCATTGCTCTCAGAGACAAGCATATACGACTGCGTTTACGCACACAGATAGAGTCCTATCGAGACGGACGTAGACGCACACACACGGTCACACAGGTAGGGATGGGGACACACACAGACAGGCACGCATCCCCGAGCATACAAGGTCGTACTGATATAGACACATACATGTCATACGTCTGCTAGCACCAGGCCCAGGCACCACGCAAAACAGCAGGTGAAGCGCTAGAGGCCACCAGCCGAGCGGGAGGAGGTGGAGCCGGTCTCACCAGCGTCCCTGGGAAACCTTAGCAGGCATCTGTCTCCTATGGGTGCACCCGGTCACCACTCAATTCCAGCTGCACAAAGGCACCGGGGATTCCCGTCACCCATGCTCCCCTTCACGGCCTGAGGCATTGCCGACGGCCGTGTTACCTCCTGAGCAGGGAGGTGGTCCAGGTGGCACTCTCTCCACGCGGCCAGCTCTGTCTCCCCGGGGCCCTGGCTGGGCAGCGGCAGACACGGGGAGATGCCACCTCAGCTAATGTGGGTTCGTGCATTCTCCGCGTCGCTGTTCGAAAGGGCACCGGGAGGCTGCCCCCGTGTCAGGGCTCGTGAAGGGAACCTCTGTGGCCCCAGCGCGGCCAAAGCGCTTGTCTTCCCTCCCGGACGAGTTTCCAGCAGAGACGCAGGTTGCGCAGCAGGTTGACGAGACGATGGGGCAGGAGCGCCCCCTGCTGTCCGCTGTGGGAACTGCGCGCTCACACCGGGTCGGTTCCTCCGGGTGCGGCTTCTGGGACAGGACACCGCTCTCCCAGTACCGTCATGCCACCTGCACAGGTCTCTGCTGGGGCGCCCCATTCCCGGGGCCCCTCCCCATCCCTGTGGCCGCTTCCCACTCCTGTGACCCCGCCCCATTTCCCGCGACCCCGCCCCATTCCTGTAGCCCCGCCCCATCCCTGTGGCCCTGCCCCATTCCCGTAGACCCTCCCCATCCCTGTAGCCCCTCACCACTCCCATGGCCCCT